TTCTTCTTCTTCTTCTTCTTCTTCTTCTTCTTCTTCTTCTTCTTCTTTTTGTAATGGTTAATTACTGGTCCAGGCATGGTCAACCTTTCCACATTGCAAGACCATAGCATTTATCTATGGAGTTTATGATGAAGAACTATGCGATCAAGTTACCAAAAAGAAAAAAGAAATCCCACACATTGTAAAAAAGTTGAAGATTTTTATGTTAGGCTATATTCATAACTGTCCTGGGACCCACAGCCTGCAGGTAGGACACACCTGGTACACATTTGACTGAAAGTACTTGAAAAGTCACAAACAGTGGTTCTGAACTCTTATATGCAGTAGTCAGTATTTCCTTGTGAGCCACTCTTCCTAGTTCCCAGGAAGTGTAAGCCAATGAATGGCATGATTAGAGTTTTTAAACATTCCTAAGTCTTGGTTTCATTACACGTCATCAGAATATCCTGGAAAATGTCATTTTATACGATGGAGACATTTGTACCTTATTTGAATTACATGTAGGCTTTTAAATAGGTTCCAGATTCTCTGGTGCTCAAATAACTTCAAGAACCATTTGTCATTGGTATCCAGGTATATTTTCAGTCTTCTCGAATTTCGTAAGGAGTGGTGTCAAATTTATTCTTGCTAATCTATTGCCTTTTCTATATTTTATGTTTTCTTCCCATGTCTGTTTCATGATTTCTGCCATGAAATGGAATGTCCACCAAGTCTTATCAAGTCCGCGGGTGAAAATACGAGTGTAAATGTGCTATGTTCAGATGCCTCCCACCTTAATAGAATGACAGCCCTACTTGCAGCATTTCATTCGTGAAGAAATGATATCCATTTAGTAGAACTGAACTTGTAATTTTGACCTTTTTCTGGGTTAGCGATGTATGCTAACACTTTCTGGTGATGCTGGGACGTAGCAACCCAGCTTCAGTTAGCCACTCCATCACTTGGACAACCAGCTAAGACTACTGGGTGTTATGCTGCTACATGGAACTTGTTGGCTATTGGTTTCTGATAAGTCATGTTAGTGATTCCACACATTAGCATACAGCAAGCAGGCTTTGCACTACATGACGTGGCCCAGCTATAGGCTCAAGTCAACATGCAGATCCTGTGTAGACTAACATGGTCAGTCTGGATAGTGTGTTGCAGGCATTAGCAATGTGTGGGAGAGAGTGACAAATGCCAGAACCGAAAGGTTTTATTCTGCTCGCTTCGACGACCATGATGTCCCACCATGTTCTGATGCTTTTTTACTATTTTCTCTCACGTGTCCCCTTTGCCTTTCCTTTCTTTCTTTCTTTCTTTCTTTCTTTCTTTCTTTCTTTCTTTCTT